GTAATTCCCTGTTCCTTATCAGCAACCTTTGGGTTCTGGATGATGTTACATGCAGGATGCCTGTCCTGTTTTGAGTAGAACTTTGTATACAAATACTCCACTCTGTTCCCTCCACACTTAAAATTGCTTTTAGATCTGTATTAACTACTGCTCCTTAAATACTAGAGCTTTTAGGGAAAGAAAAGGCATCATCACTATTGAGGAGCAGTTTCCAACAGAAAGATAGAGGAATATTACATTTTATTGCATTATATAACAAGTTCAATACTCATTCTAGAGACTAACCTTTATTTCTAAAAATTGAAATTAACACAAGATTACCAGCTTACATTTGATCTTTGATGTCAAACACGTTCTTACGGACCTTTTTAATTTCTTATGTACTTTCTTTTAATAACCAGCTGCTTTCCGATCTTTTTTTGTAAGTCACTTCAATTTTCTAGTCGTTTTAAAGGGCTGAATAAATGACTGAGTAACTAGATCAGGCTTTGTTCAGAACCATGGCTGTCTTCAGTACAAAATCTCACAGTCCCAATTAATGCAACTGTCACTTTCCACTTGGAAGACAACCTACACAATTGTTTCTTGTAGCATGTGTTCTATGATATTGTTTCTATGCCAGTGCCTGACTGCAACACAAATGCAGCGGTCAGTGGAGCTACACTTTCATGTAAGAAAACTTCATTAGAATTACAGAATTTCTTAGAGTCAGAGCAATTTTTCCATTTAAATCTAGTAATTGGGCTTGTTGACAAGACAGATTTCCTAGAATTAAACTGTAATTGATGGTTCTACATTTTTCCTATATGACGTTTGAGGTTCAGTACGTTTCACTTCAGGAAAACGTATCTTGGTTTTAAGTAATTAAAAACAATTCACATGTGATGAAGTAGAATTTCAATTACAGAAAGGTGGAAACATCAATTTCTTTCAAAAGTAGTTTTGCAGTAGAAAACTTTACACTCTTTTTTTTCCCCATAAATATCATGCTTTTAAACCTGCTACAGCACATTAATTCCAGAGAAGAGGGAATGCTTCCCATTCATTTTAACTGCGTCTGGAGATCACTTTATGCTGCAGATGACTATGAAGCTCAGCTTGGGAGCCAGAACCCATCCAGCATAGAGGACAGATCATGCTGTCACACGCATGTGTCCCAGCTTCCACAGTGCTGTGTTTACATTGCTTACACCATGGAAACAAGCCCAAGTAAGATATTGCGCTAAAGTCTGTACCCTGCTATGATCCAAGACAAACTTGTCACCCAGCTCCATCTATCCAATTGCCCTAACAGAAATGTTTAGCACACCTTGAAGATAATCAGTCCACAGAACACCAACTGATCCTGTTTGCTCTGGTGTTTATCTTCAGGATTAAATCAGTTTCCACCAATGAAACAGAACAGCACACCACATGACTCTTTTACCATATAATTTTCTTTTGCAAGCAGGTTCAGTGATGCCACCAATATTAATACTGGCATCTCTCAGCATCAGGCTGAATTATAAGTGTCCCTTTCAAAGCATAATACTTTGACTTCGTGCCAAGAAAAGGCACTTCTGGTAGGTCTCTCTCTGAAATGGTATTTCATATACGTAAAAGAAAGCTTTTTGCATCTCCAGCTTCTTTACATTTTGTTCACTTTAAAGATGTGAATGTTAAGTCAAAAATTGTTTCAGTTGGAAGATATTTTCCATTACAATGCTATTTAAGTCATGGTTGTTGATTTAATGTACATGATAATGAGTTGGATTATACTGAGTTTACTACACAATACCTTACTCTTAAAATAACACATCTTTAATTCTTAAGAGGACATGAAGTAACAACATTTGCTGAAGTGTAAAAAGCAACTGGGACCACTCTACAACCTCCCTAGAACACAAACTGCAACTGCACTGATTTCTAGACTTATACAAATCAGGAGAGCCCAAAAGCAGAACCTTCAGACTCCCACATGCAATTCATCTATCAAATGAATGTAAGATCAAATAGTCTGTCACAGTCCAACTGTATCAATAACCAACAATTAACAGACACTACTTGGAGCATTAACTTCCATTTTCACTTGCGGCCATCTGGATATGCCAAGTACTATTAGCTTTGTGAGCACAAATGCTAGTTTTATTACCAAGTAACACAACATGCTTGTCATTTCTTTTTCCATTTCTATTTAAGGAATTTGCTCCCTCCACACAATCCCATGAATTGAGTGCCAGCAGCATGCCTAAGAAAAAAAAAAAAAAGAACGGAGTTAAAAATACACTAACCTGATTTGACTGCCCAGAAAGGTAAGGTTCAAAATCGTTGTCATGAACTGTATCCTTCTGATGTAACGAACCATTTTGTACTAGAAGAAAAAGGTTACAACATGTTATAACACTGTTTATAGCATTGCAGTAAAGAGTTCCACCCTGTGTTATTTTATGAAAAGCCATATTTCTTCTTCACAGCATGAAGGCTCATAAAAAGACCAAAGAATGACATTTCCCCTTCAAACAGTTGCTCTTTATATTATTGCTTACAAATTTGAGTAAATTTAGAACTAAATAAAATTCTGCAGTCAGAAGTGAATAGACAACTCGTGTGAACTGACTCTGAACAAAAGAAATCATTATTGACAAGAATCTTGTGAAGATTATTGGGAAATAACATCTATTGTTACGGTCCACAACTGGAACTGTCAGCAAATAATTCACAGCTCTACCAGCATGTGTCAGTCACTGCTTAAGTGAAGTTGGGTAAAATAAGATGAGGTGAGGTTACATTTAATTATGAAATAATGGTTAAGTGCCTCAGCACCCTGACATCTTCAGGAAAATCTGTATCTCTGCTTTCTCATGTGCAGAACAGAGATACCCGTCTACTTCAGCATGAGTAGCATGCAAAGCCATTGCTGATACACAAAACTGTTGTTGCATCACTTCATTTCTTTTGCTTGCTTTACTTAAGAAAATCAGGTCAAACACATTATATGACAGTTGCTTTATTTACCTATTTCACAGAGCAGCTGAACTAAACAGGACACTGCAGCTTGGGAACTGACAAGAAACAAGTCTGGGAATTGACCATAATATTGCTACAAAGTTTGTCAGGGTAAGCAGAGGTCAAAGAGTATTTACAAACACAGGCAATAGGGTCAAACTTTCTGTAACTGGTGGCAGATGGATTTTTAATGCAGGTTAAGGCATGTTAAAAAGCATTTAGGAGTTGAATACTGTTAGTTGCTAAGTCTAGAAAGTCACATACCCATTAGCAACAGCTAACACTTGGGTTAACACAGGTTAACCTGTGTGTCTTTTAGACAACAGGTCTCTTAGATGACCTGTTATTAAATTTAATTTAAAATGAAGCATTTATTGTTATAAGCTTATTATCTTATCAAAATTAATTACTTTAGATTTCCTAAATTATTAAGTTTTTACTCTTATATATGACTAGCACATCTATCAGTGAACAGCACACCAGTAATACAACTGTATTCATACAGCAGGAAGAAACTATGCAAAAGTATGTAAAACTATGTATTTAATATGCATGTCCTTGTGAGTCTATGGAGAAATCTGTTTTATTTTAAGGAAATAAGCAGCATTATGATGTTTAGCACCAACACAAAGTCCTTCCCACTGTTAGCTCAGGAGCAGCAAGTAGGAGGCAATCAAGCTTGTATGAGTAACAGTTCATGTTGGTTTTGAAACAAAGCACAGCTTTCCTTGTTCCAGATGTTATCCATATGGACCTTACTGCTCACCTACAGGCACCTGCATAATTCATCTATTACAGTAACAACTGGAACGACCACATCTCAGCGGGATCCTCACCTTTATTATCCTGTCCTTTCGGTCTCTGGGAAGCCATGGCACATGATTGGAGAAAAGAAAAAAAAGAAGACAAATAAAAGTTTATTTCAGAAAAACGCTTGTATCACCACCACCAAACACAGAGCTTTTGAGGTCGGACGCTCATAAAAACGGCTCACAGCAAATCAGGACTTGTTTAAACGGGAGTGTGTTCCACGCATCTTTCCGCACTTACAAATGGCCACGGCTCCCTAAAGGCTGTGGGAACGCGCTGCGCCCGTGGAGGAACTTTTAAGAGGAAGCTTCAGGTCCAGCGAAGCCGAGAGGCAGAAGAAAAGCCTCGCCCGGACCATACGCAGGCACCGGCCTGCACGGGAAAGCCCCCGCCGCCGGGCGGGGAGGCGGCAGGCCCCGCGCCGCGCCTCGCCACTTACCTGAGGGTCAACGCTTGTGGCAGACATAATTCATGTACAGGGCCGCCGTGGTTCAGCACACAGGGCCGGAGGGCGACGGGGGTGAAGGCAGGGCCGCTCGGCGCGGAGCTCCGGGGCCTGGCGGAGGGGCCGCGGTGCCTCACCCCTGAGGCGGCGGCCGAGGAGGGGAAGGGGCCGAGGGGGAAGGGAAAGGGGCCGCGGGCTCGCTTGCCGCCGCTCGGCGCCTCCTCAGCGTGCCCGGGGGATGGCGCCGGTCACCGCGCCTCCTCTCGCCTACACCCAGCCGGGCCCCGTCTCTTCACATGCCCCCGGGGCCGCGCCACCCGGGGCCTTGCCCCCCGCCGCCGCCGCCTTCGAGGCCGCAGCGAGAGCCGGAGCCTCCAAGTCCAATGGCGGCGGGCGCCGGGCTGCGGTGACGTCAGCGCCGAGAGCGCGCGGGGCGCGCCGGGAAAGCACGGCCGGGCGCATGCGCGAGCGAGCGGCGGGCTGAGGGGCCGGGCGGGCCCTTTGGCTGTCATGGCACTTCGTTCGGCCCTTGAGGGGCTGGGTCGGGTTCCTCAGCCCGGGAGCTCGCCGTGAGGGCTCGCCCATGGCCGCAGGCGGTGAGGGAGGCCGGTCTTCCCCTCACAGCCCGAAGGCGGCGCGGATGGGGGGCCCTAGGCCCGCGGTGGCTGCGGCTGGGATCCTCTGGCAGAGGGTCTCAAGCAGCCTGGGTGCTGGCGGCGCTTTGTGAGGCTAACGCCTTTTACCCTCCGTATAGCCGGTGTTTAAGTGTTATCTTGGACCCGTTAGCAGAGCTCGTGTTGATTTCGGCAGGGCCATGAAGTAGCCTTGTAAGTTTCGGGGAGTCTGGTCGGTTTCATGTGTGCCCCTCTGAGGGAGGGAGGGAGGAAATGAACCAGCGGTGGATGCCCGAGGTGTAACCGTGCAGGGCTGCTTAACGCCCAAATTCAGTCTGTAACACTTGGAGAGGGCGGCCTTAAGGAGAGATCAGATTAAATGAAAGCAATTCCCTTTCATTTCTAGCCTTCGAGTTCTGCCTCATTACTGGTTGTATTTCTGCCCCTGTACACAGTGGCTTGTTAGGGATTTTTTTTCATAGAATCATAGGATCCCAGCCTGGTTTGCATTGAAGGGACCTTAAAGCCCATTCAGCTCCAACCCCTGCCACGGGCAGGGACACTTTCCAGTAGAGCAGCTTGCTCCAAGCCCCTGTGTCCAACCTGGCCTTGAACACTGCCAGGGATGGGGCAGCCACAGCTTCTCTGGGCACCCTGTGCCAGCGCCTCAGCACCCTCCCAGGGAAGAACTTGTGCCTAAGGAAATGTTTGGTGTTGAAACAGAAGTCAAGGTTGTTTTGCTTGTATTATGGTAACACCCAGAGGCCTCGCTGTCCTGCTGACTTACAAGCACAGTACGTGCTAGTTCCCTGCTCAATGACAGTTTGGTGCACTGGGAGCCTCTTATACCACAACTCAAGAAAATACCACTGCGGTACTTCTGCACAACACTGGTACTGGATCACAGCAGCTCAGTGCAATTTGTAGAACATAATTTCTTTTGACTCCTTTGGAAACTGATGCAGTAAAAGGATTTGCAACATCATTTGCATCAATAGTATAGCACTGAGATTATCTTTTAACATGTTACATAGGTGTCTGACATCTGCTTGGAGAATGGAAATAATTGTCCTTAAACTGGCTGGAAACCTGAATGTTTCTTGAAGGTATCAAAATACCTGCAGAGATTTAGTTTGGTAAGTCCTTTTGTCTTTGAACATACCTCTTGGTTTAGTTTCTTGACACAAACATGCACTAGTTCCAGTTCCTAGGAATGAGCAATATACAAACATATTTGAGAGAAAGATGAATCAAAATCAGGCTTTCAACATGTGTATAATATATTGTGTGGTTACCTGAGGTAATAAGTTGAGACCCAAACTAGGTTTAGTACCAACTTGTGTGCTGCTTGTATCCAGTCTCATTATTGCATTCACAAGTAATTAGAGTCCTGACCAAAGTAGTTAAGACTCTGCCATACCAGACAGTAGTTCCAGAAGTTACAAAATCTTACTCAGAACATCTCAGTGCTTAATTTGGGGGGTAAAAGTGGCAAATTCTCATCCTCACAAAAGGTACTAAACAATGCAATCATCCTGTCCTTTAGATGCAGTTAAAAGCAGAGTCTTCCCTGTGTTCACGTGTTTGGAGCTTGTTGGTTTGAGTTTGTATTTACTATTCTAATAAAATATGTGAAATGGATTGTTTACTTTTGTCCTTTTCCTGCTCAGTCATCCAGAGAGAAGGAAGAAAGAAGAATGCATTAATCCTCAGCACCTGGGATGCTCTGTGTGGCTTAGGTAGCAAGTAATAATTGGTTTGTGTTATCTTAATTCTGTTTGCCGTACGCTATAGCTATGGACAAAGCAGATGTGTCCTCTTGAGAGTCCCTGAATGAGCTTAAAGGCTGACATAGAGCAGTGCTTCCAAAACAAATGAGAGAAAAAAGCTAAAAGCTGAGCAACATGCCTAAGGAGTGGCAGATCTGTCTGGAAGGGAAAGGCTTGTCCTGGGTTCTTGGGTGATGGGCACTGCTCTGAAGTCCATGTGATTGTGTATGTTCACTAGTCTTGATATAGAAACTATGTGACTATGAATCATCCAAGCCATGAGTGTATGTGGGCAGAATGCTAGAACTGGATTTGCTTCAGCATCCTAAGGTGTAGGGTACAGCTATTAGGCTGTACCCATTATTTTAGAGTCAAAGACAGAGCGTGTCAGGCACATAAATATATGTATGCCTAAGGCTATGGTTTGGGGAATATGTTTTGCATTAGGACAACGTGAGTTACTGCTTCTTCCTGGTAACTTGAAAAATGATCATGTCTGTCCACTGACAAGAGCACAATCTTTTAGACACAAACCCAGTAAGATGACATATAGATAAGGCAATATTCAGAATTATATCAACTGAAGATACTCTTGGAGTGTGACTCTGTAACCTAGGGGATAACACAGGTTTTTGTTTGGTTTTGGCTTTGTTGAGAGAAATAAGGTGGTATGATCTAGTATAAGAAAAAGTTATGGGCATCTTTTTCTTCCTTTGCTAACGCACTCTGAAATTTCAGGAGGATAGATTTCATGTGTAAATTACAGAATACTCTTTGTTTTGGGTTTTAATTTAGATTTTACAGGGATTTTATGCAGCCCTCTGTTATGAGCAAGGGAGTAAAATCAAACATTGCCATGCTGGAACCATCTCCCTGCTGCACCTCACACCTCCGTGGAATGTAACCAAAGCAAGGAGCCAACATTGATTTCCATCATTTCAGGGTGAAAAACAAAAGCAGACACACATAGTGTCTCTTCTTCTCTCCTTTTTTTCATATCACTGACACATTGTGAAAACATAAGAAGTGAAATCATATGCAGAGAGCATGGCTTGTGCACAGATACCAGCTGATACCATCACTGTGCCTGCTGTGCTTTGCAAGACAACTTCATTGAAAAGCTGTAACAAGGACCTCAGCAGAGCAACGACTGATCACAAGGACTCTCCCATGTCTCCTTCTTGATCTTCATCATTGGCAACTCTTTCTTGCTGCTATCATGTAGTTTCCATTAAGTTGTAAGGTCTTTGTAAGTCTGTCTTTGCTACTCATTAGAATACAGTCACCCATTTTTCACTTCAGCGCTTTGCAGTGTCCTTCACTGTTGTCTTTCTTCCTCATCTGTCAATCTGACTGTTGATTATTGATACAGAGACAAACTAAACCTATTCTGAGTCAATTTGCATGGAGAAAACACATGATTTCTAACGTGAGTAGCTCAAGAACAGATCTTTGCCTTTTGTCCAAGCAATACTCAGGCAGCCAGGCACATCCCTCTGCAATGAAACACATTTCAAACTGTAGCAGAATTTTGTTGGAAAAATCAGATGTTCCATGTTTCTTGATGGCTGATTTTCTAGCAATTAAAAAGTGGGATGAGCTCCACTAGAGTCATAACAATGCCTGACAAATCCTTCTTTAAAGGTAATTAATGGCTGAATGGTGGAACATCTGTTAGTCTTTTCCCCATGATGTTCACTGGCAAGGGCAAGAAGGGGTAAAAAAACAAAGAGAAAAAATGACCCTTGAATAAGAAACTCTCAGATTTTTCAGCTCCAAAAGCCATATGAAATAAAGCCAATAAAATGAAACTTGTTTACTACAAACAGTTGCATTTTAAAAAAGTATTGACCACTTTTCAACCCACTCTACCTTCTGTAGCAGAAAGATTTTGTATAATAAGCTGGACACTGAAATTGTGAAGTCATGAACAATCTAAAGCACAGTAATGCCTTGTGGCAGAAACACTTTCATTTTCCTCCTTCCAAAGAACCAGAATGTTACTTTGCTTTTTCTCAAATCACAGCAGGATTTTAAGGGTGGTTCTTCTATTGATTTTTTGCATATCTGCTATGCTTTGCAGATATTTCTTTTGATGTGTGCTGTGTTCTGCTCCTGTGGGCTGGTATATTAATAGTATTTGATTTTAAGCGCTTTCATGAATCATGTTGCCAGCTACATTTAGCTGTTCCTATTACAATACATAAACCACCACAAGGCAACCAAATGCTATTCCTATCACAATACATAAACCAAATGCTGTGGTAATGGAGGTCAGAAGAAAAAATTAGGGGAGGAGATTGAAAGATTTGAATCCTTAGGACATCACCTTACAAAACATAGATCTGTTACTCACCTGTGCATCAGTTCTGGCAGTATATATGAATAGTATGTGTATTTACTTCATAGCAACATTTTTCAGGCTTCCTGATTTAATGATTGCCAATGGTTGGAGCAATAAATCATTATTAATATGTTAAATTTGTCACTGTTATTGACAAATCCACTGAGCAAAGCACAAGGAGTAAAATGTTGATAGGTAGGGAAGAGCCGTTTAGATGTACAGCAGTATCCCTTGCAGTAAAAAAACCTTGAGCAGGATGAAAAAGCAAAATGAGGCTTCCTTGCCCTAAGGGAATGACTCTGTGTTCATCTCTGGTGTGACCAGTCACTTTTTAGTGTGTCATCATTATTCACTGGGTTGGATCACTGCCCACAGGGATGAGTTTATGGGTGCCCTGGAGTTTTGTGTCAGTGGAGAGCGATGTGCTCTGCTCCCTCAGGGCTGCACTGAAGGCAGCTCTCACGGAGGCACTCTTACAGGTTTTATTGTTGAAGAGGACAGTGCCAGCAGCTCTTAGCAAGGCTGCAGAGTGCAGGCGTTGTGCTGCTGCCAGTCAGCGTGAAGGAAGATGAAGGACAACAGACAAGGAACAGGCAGCCAGAAGAGGAAAAGCAAGGCCTTAGATGGAGAAACAGCAGCAGTCACCTACTTCTGTGGCTACAGATGTAATGATTTTGTCTGCTCTGTTGCAGTCTGAGAGCAATTCTGTCATCAGGCCTGAATGTTTTATTCTCAAAGACAGATCCTTGTCCTGACAGTGGTTCTGAGCAAGTAGGAACAGGAATAATGCCATAAGTGTCCTTGATATCCAATCCCCTTACACATCAGTTGCAGCAGTGGCAAGCTATGGCATCTTTATTTGCATTTCTAGCCTCTTCGCTTCTTCGATAATGCCAACTGACACCTTTTTTTTATCCCCCCCCCCCCCCCCCCCCGTTATAAAAGCCCCTTTCCTCAGGAATTTTTTATTTACTCTTAGTTTATTGATGAAAGCATAATAGTGTTCCTTGAGCTAAACCACACGGCAGCTTCATCCCCTTACAGCTGTGTAGAGCCTCAAGCTTAGAGATGCTGAACTCTGCTGGAGCTTTTCCAGGGACTTCAGTTACTTCAACCCTTTAAAGCTCTTTATAATGCTGCCCCCAGCTGTACTCCTTGTATATATTGATCACTTTCCTTCCGAATCATGCTGATATTAGCAAACATTGATTAATAACATTTACATTCCTTTCTCCTTAGAGTTTCAACTCACTATTTAGTGTTAGTTTCTAGTTATGACTGAAAGGAGCTCAGCAATGTCAAAGTTACTACATTTCTCATGCAGGAGCATCATGATGGTGCTGTTGATCATCATTACTCATCAGTCCTGAGCTCCTGGTTGATGCTTCCTGATTCCCAAATGGTTATAAGCAGTATTGCTTGTAAAATGCTTCATAAGATCAGAACTATCAATCACTCTTATCTACTAAGAGGTGATTCACAAGAACCCCTCAGCAGAGACCCCAAACAGCCTCTATAAGAGAGATTTTAACTCTGTATCTTGTATTTTTCAGATCCATTCCTGAAAAAAACAATATAACATTATAAAGCACAGGATCTGTGGAGCAGGAGATAATGGACAATTAAATATAAAAACTCATTACAGGCAATAAAGAACCACACTCATTTGTTACAAGACCAAGTTCTGTATATGAGCACTGCCCTCTGCTGCTCAGGGATTTCTGTTAAAACAGAGTTAATTAAACAAGTTTCAGTATTTGTTTTTAATTAAAACGTTGATACAGGTTTGTCTGTGAGAAACCAGCCCTGGAGCTTCTTGCTTTAAAGAAAAGCCCTTATTTATCACTTCTTGCAAACACAAACCACCTGTGTTCTTACAGTAGCAAAGCAAACTTGTTTTTTGTCAAGCATGTAGAAGATGCATGAATCTTCTCAGGCAGAGAAGTGGTAAAGGAAAACATACTTTTAAGCAATTACAACTTTCAGATCTAACCTTGAAATCCTTCATTCCAAATTGGGACCCCAGGGAGACAAAGGAATAGAATGATTTCAAGTTATGAAGCTGCAAAAGAGCACCTCTTCCCAAAAGGAAGGCAACAGAATTGATCCAAGATACTTCCTGGTGACCCCCACTGCTAATGATGACATCTGGGCTCCTCAGCCAACGGACAATTTCAGCACAGCCCCAACCAATTGGGGAAAACGAAGCACTAGAAATAGCCTCTGGGTCAGTTGGGTTCCTTTGTGTTCTAGAGGAGGTTCTGCTTCTTTGAGGAATAGTGCCTTTTGGTTGAGAGGAGAGCTTGGAAGCAGTTTGCCGCTTGGAAGCGATTTGCTACTTGGAAGCATTTTGTGCCTTTATTTTTTGCATATTTCAGGTAAATATTTTTAGCATTTTTTTTTCATTGCCTTAATCTTAGGGGTTTGTTGGTATTAGCTCTTGTGGTGCTTTGATGATGTATTCCTATGTAGGTGTGAGTAATGGATTATAGAAGAATATTGGCTTCTAGAAGCAGTGTATCTGCTTAAACTATTAGTTTGGTTTGGAGAGCTCTGTTAGCCAAGTTAATGCATGTTCTATAGAGCATGTGAATACTTTCATTGCAAGCAAACTATCATGTGTTTTTTCATAAAGATATCCTTCCCTTGTGCTGCATTTCTTACTTTAAGAACACTTGGTTCAGGTGTTAAGCTTTTAAGTTGGAAGACTTCTTCCGTTGTGTTTTTGCTGTGAAGCTTGCTCTGATGTCCATTTAATAAGTGGTAGGGGACTAAGAACTCAGTTGCTGAGGTGGAAAGCAGTAGTTGTTACAGTTTAACAGCTTTGGTTTTATTAGGGCCTGTGAGAGCAGCACTAATGATCTGAAGCTGTACCTGATGAAGTCTCTCTGCTTCTGTGTTCTGAGAGCAAAATCTGCAGTGCAGGCTGAAATATTGCATGTTCCTAAGCTTGCTTAGCTTGCAAATTCTGCTGTGTATCAGAGACTTTCTTTTCTGTATGTTTCTGTGCCACTGCCGTAGCTCTTGAGTAACTAGTGTATTAAAGCATGGTTTCTGAAACTTTTAGAGTCTTCTATTCCTATTACTGTGGCTCTGATGATAGAAGGAAATTCTAGTTGCTAATGAACCTTTCCTTGCTGCCTTTTAGTGTGAGAGGCATGTGGTTGAACAAGCTCACTTTTTAACATCTTGCTAACCATGTAGTAGTACCTGTAGAGGGTGGATTTGGTAACCCTGGCTTCAGGCCTTGCAACCTAAAATGCTGTGGGAGCTTTTTTCCCCTTCCCTAGATGTACTGTAGTACTTAACTAAGAGAAATAGTACTTCAGAGATGCTACTGGCCTGAGAGCCGCTTAATAGCTCTGACTGTGATTACTGCAGAGTAGTTGCTATATAGATTTTTACAGTGTGCCTATTCTGTAGAGTTAGTTATAGGTAGTTACCTATTAATTATGTGGTGTACCAGCCTTGAAAAACATCTTAAGAGTGTGTACATATTGTTTGTGTAGATGTATGTTTGCCTGTGTGATATTTTGGGTCTGTGTGCTTATAGTACTTAGCTCTATAGCCAGTACATAGTTAGTGCTTCCTTTGGGTGAGTTGACCTATTGAGTTGAGTGGTAAAGGGATTTTTTTCAGGGCTCATACTTAAAAAACTGGGTTTGTTTGCATCTACCACTTAATCACATGTGCAGTGACTTCACTGCAGAGGAATTCCTTTGGAGTCATTAGTTTAAAGTGATCCTAACTGTTGTGTAATTGTATGGCCTTGTGAAAGTGTATTTACCAGACCTAGAAAGGACTAGAAGCAGTAGTTACAACTTGGTTTACTTGGCTGTTACCTTGAGTAGAATGAGAGCTGGATAACTGCAGTCAGTAACTTCTTTAATTCACTCTCTTGAACAGAACCAGCACAGGCAGGAAATGTCTTATCCTTGATTTAAGGACACCTCCTCATAGAAACTAAACAGAATTATTTCAGATTGCATCCTGGAGAATTTCTTTCCCTATAGAGCTGTTTCTATATACTCACTGTTTAATGATCACAAGATTATGAAAAATGTACTGCTACTCTGTGTAGTGCTTGTCTTTAAGCTGACCATTGAGATGTGATGTTTGGGTGTGGCTGTTTCCTGCTTTGTTATGGCATGTCTTCTTAAAATTGGCTGGGGGGGGGGGGGGTGTGGCGGCGGCAAAGCCTTTTCTAATGTTAAAGGCAAAAGGGCTGGGGATTTATCATGCAGATAGGCGCCAGAAATTGGATTGGCTCAGCTGGGGGGGGGGGGGGGGGGGGGGTGGGAAGCACAGGTTCTGCCCTCTCTGTTCCTGCAAGCATCTCCCCTGTGAGCTGGCAGAGGGGCTCGGAAACCTCTGGTCTCTTCCCCTCAGACACTAGTGAGGGCTCAGCAAAAGTTCAGCAGCAAAGTACAGAAGCACCAGAGCTCTCATTGGGCTGCAATTCCCAAACAAGCTCAGCTTTGTCAAGACCAGGAGCTTTCTGGAATATGCGTGGGGATGAGAAACAAATAGCACAGCATGAGTGTTGCCTGACACCGGGAATCCAGCTGACAGCTCTGGCTTGTCTCCTCTCTTTCAGAACAAGAACATGGAGGACAGGAGACCAGCAAAGGAGACAGACCCCCAGGGCTCCTTCTTGCCATCTGTTTAAAAGAAGCATGAGGAATGAAGCAAGAAGACTGAGGACTTTTCGGCGGTGGCCAGCAACCTCACCTGTATCCCCTCGAGATTTGGCAAGGCTGGCTTTTTCTATCTTGGGCCAGGAGATGAAGTACGGTGTTTTTGCTGTAGTGGTATTCTGAAGGGACTGGGCGCCTGGTGATTGCCCAGCAGCAGAGCAACCGGAAATTCTTCCATCCTGTAAGTTCATTCGTGGTGAGGCTGTTGGGAACCAAGAGATGCTTCCTCTTCAGGAAGTCGTTGACACTGTGGATGGGCAGGTCGTCAGCCTATTGCAGGGGATGGACAGTGAAGAGGCAGCCGTGCCCCATGAGCCAGAATACCCAGCGATGGTAACAGAGGAGGCGAGACTATTGACATTTCAGAACTGCCCACGATACCCTGCCATGCATTATCAGGCACTAGCTAGAGCAGGATTCTTTTTCACAGGTAGGTGCTCTGGGGAAATGTGTTCAACTTTGATCCAAGTTAACTTTTAAAGGTATTGCTGTGTTTTATTGTTCATACAAATACTTGCAAGTATGTGTAGCATAGTTAGAAAGCCCGTCCTTCCTTCAACCTATGCTGCTTCACTTGTTGCCTGTGTAGAATTCACTACTATGTTAACTCCTGTTTGGGTACTGAGGGGCCCACTAATAAGTCAATTCCCTAACTAGTGGGAGTAGAAGAAGTGGGATGTTTTAAACAGTTCTTTACTGGCAGAAAAAGTGTTGTTTTTGAGCCTATTTGTTACTTGCACTTCTAAAAGGACTTGAAGCACTCGCTTGGCATGTTTTGTGTAAGCATTGTCTTTAACTGAAGCCTTCTCTTAAAAACCTAAACCTGAATGTAGTCAGTCTGTTTGGCTGTCGCTGGCTGTAAGGACTCTGGACTTATAGAAATAACAAAGATCCTTTTTTATGAGGAAAACAGGCAATACTTATCATATGCATCTGAATATCAATATATCATTGTTTTTACCCTTGGGAAGGCTTTGCTGCTTAGATAATGTGTAGAAGTGGTTGTCCTTGCACTGACCAGTCAGAGGAAATATTTACAGGACATTTAATACTTGATTGTAATTAAATATTAGGGGAACCCTTCAGTTCTTTGAAAGCTGCTGATATAGTGATAGTTCTGTGTGACTTCTGTATAGAAGAATCTGTTTGTATTTACGCATCAGTCCGAGATGTGGAAGGAAGTGACGGGCAGGGTGCATAAACTAAAGATGCCTTGGCAAAAACCAGCCTCCTCCTCCTGGACTCCTTGCACTCTTGTTGAAGCACAACAAGCCTGACCCTGGGGGCTCATTAGACAGCAGCAGTGTGACATGGCACTCCCCTGTGGTCACTTGAGCAGGAGAACTCTGGAACTGAGCACTTGGGTTAAGCCAAACTGATCTGAGATGGGAGTGTTTGGAACACCATGTCTGTGACCTAAACTCGGTGGATTTTACTAATGCTGTTGTTCCATTGCCCTCAAGGCAGGGCATTTGTAGGTAGTGCTTAACTGTGGCTTTAATGGCTTCTGGCTATGCCGGCTGCTGGTTATGGCAGATTGTGGTGAGAAAATGAGTATAGGTATAATTAATTACATTTCTAAATGCAGGCAAGAAGGGATTGGATAGCTGTATGCATACATGGGAGTTGTGGGGCTCACATGCAGGCTGCCTGTTAGCTTGTGACCCAGCTCTAGAATCATCTCAACCAGCTGCAGCTCTGGGAGTTCAAACTCTCATCAGATTTCCTGCCCTATCAACTTGCACAGTGTTGAAGTGTCATGTGCTCATCTGTTCTGTCCAGTAGCCTGTGTTTTGTGTTGAATGTCTCCCCAGGCTCTCATCTAGGGCTAGTAGAGCATACAGCATCTCGGATGTCAAATAATCTCTTAATGTCTCTTTCAGGACAAGGTGGTATAGTGAGGTGCTTTTACTGTAATGGAGGTGTGAGGAACTGGCAGATTGAAAGTGATCCTTGGTGGGAGCATGCCAAATTGTTTCCAGGGTAAGTCAGGTTTGGCTGACAATGTCTCTTGTTGCAAGACCAAAAGATATGCCATGTGTTTCACACTGATTTCTTCCTTCATAAGGAGGGGGGAAATCATGAGCCTCTTACTGTTGCTCTTTATGTATGGAGTGGGGAAAACCCATAATACACCATCATTAATGAATATAGCAGCTTGCTCATAACCTGATAGAGCCCTTTGCTTCTAAAATTCAAACTCCTGTTGCTTGAGATATACTGTACTAATGTGTTTCAATCTTTCTGCTTATAGGTGTGAATTCTTATTGCAGTCAAGGGGGAGAGACTTTGTTAGCAGTGTTCAGGAGTCCCTCTCTAACACCCAAGTTCCAGTGAGTCAAGACTTTTGTGTGTAGTGGATATGGGGATTTGGTAAATAGGGGGAGTTCTAAACCCATGCTTCTTTTGTGATCATCATTTTCAGAGAGATTCCAGGGGTCAGACTGGACAAAATCCACCTGCTTCACGAGGTCAGTGCTGTAATGGCATGGTGGTGTCTTCTGTTCAGAGTGCTGTAGTCCTGCTGCTTCTACCCCCCTTCCCCCCCCCCCCCCGTGTGTTCTGTATACATGGTGTTTGTAAGATGTTTTGATGTTCTAGAAGCTGTTTCACTTTATTTCTTAGGAAATGGTCTCTAGCACAAAAGTAAAGCTGCTTGTTCTTGTGAGACCTCTTAGTCTAAGACAAGCAATGTTTTTTCTAGATAGTCATAGGATTTTTGGGTGCTTGCCTAACCTTCCCGACTTGTACATGCTCTTGATGTTGTGTCTATCTGTAGTCTTTCACACCACAGCATTTTAAACATCCTTGTTAGGAGACCAGGGAACAGCTGGGGTCTGGTTGTTTGTGAAAGTATTGATCCTGGGGATTATTTGCATTCATCAGTTGTTCCTGGGAATTGAAGTAGGTGAAATTTGGCTTCCATAACTGTGGAAAACTGATATTCCTCATCCCCTTGAAAACCTATCCAAGAGGATGAGCTTAAGACTGAGTCCTTTGAATGGACTGACAGTTGAATTTCGTGCTTTTGTCTCTACTGATGAATGGTTGAGCCAGATATGAGGTAGGAGATACTTCAATTGGGATGTTCCACTTCATCTTCATGAAAGCAACTTTGAGACTTCTGGGATGTGAAAACAAAGATAAGGCTTCTAGACAGGGGCTAAACACGGGAGACTTGGTTCATTGGTACAGTGGAATAAACCATCCAAAACTAGTCTCTTGCCTTTGAAACTCCTTTTGACTTTCTTGTGAGTTGTGTTTGGAAGTAAAAACTAAATCTGGATGTTGCTCTAGCTATATAGATAGCTTGAGGAATGTTCTAGATCATATTAATGCCATTTGATTTAAAACAGCCTCAAGCTTCAGCTACTTTTTCCCCACAGTTCAGCCTTTTTGGTAAAGTATCTGTTCACTGCTTTACAGAAACTCTGAGGAGCTTGATGAATCAGGCTCTTCACTGCCTGGATGAGTTTGTCATAATGTGTCATGTCATTGAGATGGGCTTTGACCTCATAAGCGTGTGTAAGGCGATACAGAATAAACGCGTGATGACTGGGGCTTCCTACATCTCCGAGTCTGAGCTGATTGCTGATGTGCTTCAGGCAGTCAGGGAGAGCAGCAGTGCAGAGAGCAGAGGTATGCCTCATACCCACATACCTGGGGGGTGCTTAACCTCTATTTCACTTCACCTTGTGTGTCTTGTGGGTCTGCCTCCTCTCTTCCTAAACTGGAATTAAGAGTAAAGGCCTGCCTTTGTTTGAGAGGCTGGGAATGAGGTTCTGCTTTAAAGAAACCTGAGGGAGCTGTGATTACTGGAGTTATCAGTAACTATATCTGCCTGCAGTGGGCTATGGTATAGATAGCCTCAATGTTTTCTGCTGCCCTTAGGCTTGCTGTAGCAGACAAGAGAGGAGGCTTGTGTGCAATTTCACACCTGATGCAATTGGCTGAAGCAAGACCTCCTGGATAAGTATTCCAAGCCTATTTAAAACTGAATCAGTGACTTAATCAAAAATAGCAATATTTGTTTAAATAGTATATATTCTCCTTATCTGTGTCTGTCTTACCTGTGTTGTGGAGTCAGCCAAGTGAAGTTTATTTGAAGATGCAGTTGCACACAGGCTTTCTCTGGTAGAAAGTCTGCTTTGCAAAGCTCCTGTCTCTATCGTGGTCTGCTATTTCTTTAGCTAAAGGAAAAATAAACCCCCAGACAAATTTCCACAAACTAGAATTGGGATTAAATAGTAGCACTGGAGCAGTAATGAGCAGCTGATGGCTCCTGCTGTCTGACAGATAAACCAACTTTGAGGAAACAATGGGATGTGGACATGTCTTGGTAGGGAGGTTAAGTGTGCATAGTGATGGAAGCACCACAGAGAACATCTTCACCAGGCTCTGTGTGAAGTTAACAGAGTAAAGGGGCTACTGAAGTCAAGAGTATTTCCTCTTTGTAAACAGCACTGACATCTTCTTTCCTTGTTATACAGGTGCTGCGCAGGGGGAGGCTGCAGCATCAAGTTCAAGAGAAGAAATGCAGTCTGTGCAACAGAGAGAATCAGGTGCACTGGGCTGACAGTGGTGGTGAAATTGAGCCTAGGCACAACTGGGATGGGTTTTCTAACAGTGGTATTAGTGATCATTATATTTGGTTTTAATGCTGAAGGGAAATGTGTGTGAACTTGAATGGTAACTGAGCAGAGACCCTTATTCAGGGTTTAGAGTTCCACTGTGATGGAAAGTCATATTAAAACTTAAGTTTATCAGGGTAATTTAGGATAATTTACACACAGTGGTAAAACATATTGCTGGACTGAGCAGGGACAGATCATGTGTAGGTAAAGCAGACTCTAGAATAGCTGTAGCTTTACAGCTTAAACAAAGCTTGTGTGAGAGGTACTTCTGCCATCTTAAGTCAGTCTCTGAATGAAGTGCTGAGCCACTTGCAGCATGACTGCCTAAGATGTCAGGACAGTCCCTTTGGGGCTGTTAAAATACTAAAGCTTGGGCTTTTCTTTCTTTTTCTGGGGAAAGATGAGTCTCGGCCGAGCATGGAAGAACAGCTCCAACGCCTGCGAGAGGAGAGGATGTGCAAAGTGTGCCTGGACAGAGATGTCTCAGTTGTGTTTGTTCCTTGTGGCCATCTGGTAGCATGTAGGGAATGTGCCTTCAATCTGAGGTTGTGTCCTATCTGCAGAGCAGTCATCCAGGATAGAGTGAGGACTTTCATGTCCTGAACCATGATGTACCAAAGGGGAAAGAGAAGTCCATATGACCCATTCATAATGTAGCAGAGGAAGGAACTAAGCAAATAGTTTGATGCTGGAGCAATCCTATTTGCAGGGTAGATTGGCATAAGTGTAAAACATTACCAAATGTGCCTCCTATGTGTGCACAGTGTTTCTAGTAAGAGCTGCTCATTTGCTGTAGTTGTGCTAATCCTGTTGTAGGACTGCTCCAGAAAAACTCTGCTGGTTCCATTTGTCTTCCAAAAAGAAGCTTTTGTTGTTGGATTCTCCTTCTCCAAATTCTTGCATTCTCACATGAATCCCTGCTCTGTGTTGAAATCAAAGGCTGTTTTCAGTAGACTCTGGTTCTTTTTCATTCACTTAAGCAGTCGTTCAGAGGTTATTTTGCTAGCTTTGGTGGCTTCCTTCAGTCAGTCTGAGTCAAACAGCTGCACCTTTATACAAAATGTGTTCCATTGCTCATGAGTATTCTAGTATCCATGTATTGTGTGGGAAGGAGAATTTAGCTTTTCCTTCTGAGCTCTTTGCTGTCTTCCCCCCCTTGTTGAACTGTCAATAGTTGACAGAATGCTTCAGTAATACTCAAATCTGTGTAACTGTAAGTGAAAAGCCTGGCCTTTTCAACCTCTTTACTCTCAGCTGACTGCCCCAGACAGAAGATGACAGCCTCTTTGATGGTCAGGGTCACCAGATGATCTCCTGGGAGCTTCTTGGAGCTCTTTCCTGTCTGGTGGGTACTATTCTTATAGAAGGTAACTGTGGAAACTTACCTTTTTAGGACATCTAGTTGCTGGCTAAACTGATAATTCTTGTTTGAAATAGAACATTCTATCATATAATCAAAAAGAGGAAGTTTTGTCAATTTATAGTTTAACTTCAGGGGAAAAGAAATAAGGTTTTTAAAATTAACTGTTTCATGGAATAAAGTTGTTCTTTTGTTTCTCAGAGCTCTGAGTATCTGATTTTAACATAATGCCCTACTGGGGAGGGAGTGTGATGGTGTCCTGAAATGTTACAGCAGCATCAAGTTGTAGATTGCTCCTGTCCTTCAGTATTAGATGGGCATGAGTGAGAGAACTATTCCTACCATCCATTAGCTTCTTATGGATTTCACAAGGCAGCATCTGGGTCCTCCAGGTTACCTGAAGTGCAAAAGAAGGTGTAAGGGTGCAGGAGTACATGAAACTGTATAAGTGGGGAATAATTCTGCATCTGAACTCCATGCAGACTTTTGGTACATAGCCCTTAAACACAACTGTGGAGACTGGAACACTGCCTCTTGAATTACTACTTTTGTTCCAGGCCTGGATACCCAACAGGGTTATAGGCTTGTTGCTGAGTACCTTTAAGGTGTTAGTTATCCTTGGGCTATGTGGAAGGACATATCTTGCCTTCAAAAGAAGGTAATATTAACGCAGCTCTTGGCAAAGAGGAGAGAAATTGAACTCTCCAACTCTTGGAGGAATTAATTTGTGAGTCTTTGCCAGGCAGCAGCTTTCATAGCAAACAGAATGGCATCACTGTGCCAGACTAGGTATTGTGCCTGGGTGTATGCTCTCACTGGCTTTATTTTGCCTCTAAATAACAAAAACAGTTTAAGCAGAGGTGCTAATCTGATAAGGGAAACCAAAACCAGCTCAGTGTTGGAATAGTGTTATTTCCTCCTAATATTTAGCTCAGTGTGGCTGGAATCTTGCCTGAGCATCACCAGGGCTCCAAGGCTTTGAATGTACCAGCTGTTTCTGGTGATTCTTTCATATAACACTTTTGAAAATTGTGACTTTTCCACATCTGGAAGGATGGAGCCTTTTTCTATGAGAAGATTTCCCCTCAGAAATGTGGTTTTGGCTAGAAGTATCTCAAGTGCTGCCTATCCCCAATAGAGGGCACTCCGAACATCGAGATAAGGGAACCCCCGGAGCAAGCCTTCGGCTGCTCCTTGTCCTCATAGCACACTGGAGATGTGAGTCTCTCCCTTCCCAGAACAGGGTCATCGCATGACCTCACAGCACTTAGGGTAGGTCTGGCACAAGCAGGCCAGGAGGAAGTTTGTCACAGCAACAAAATCTATTGCTTCTACTGTCTGAAGGAAGGAAAAATACCTCCAGAAGAGATAATTACTTGCAGCTTCACCTGATTAGAACTCAGGATGTCATGGTTGCAGTGGGTATCTGGAAGGAAACTTGCACATGAGCAAAAACAGTTCTCTCAGTGCTTCTACTCTTGGGTTTATAAAAGAGGATTTTGCTTCCAGGGCTCATTTTGCAAGAAAGGTGCATCTTCACCTTAGTACTTAATGGTTTTATTTCTTTTAATTCTCTTATCACTCCTCTCCCTAGCTCTTCTGAAAAGCACCACTCATGCCAAGCAATCTCAAATAGATCAGGCACGACAAAGAATTACAATGGTACTTGGAATGTACCAGCCAAAGAATGCCACAGATGGTGACAAGTGCTCAGTCTCTGCTTGATGCCTTGCATGCTGGGAGATGGAGCTAACAAAACTGCATTGTTTATTGTTTTATTAATTGCTGCAGCTCATTAATGCAACTTAATTACACTTATATTCCCCCTTTCCCTCAGCCCATTCCCTCCCCTCAAAATTATCCTGTCACAAGAAAACCCATCAGGATGGTGCCAGTCTTGTGCCTGGAATAAGAGCGGCTGCTTGGTGAAGAAGGCAGGTACAAAAATCTATGATCCATGAAGAACTAGGCCTCTTCCAGTGTCCTGCAGCAGGCTTCAGCTGTGTATATGGCTATGCCAGTGTTAATTTTATGTAGATGAGCAGACCCAGAGTACGTTACAGTTGCTCTGAGAATGGCTTGGCATGTTGAAATGGGGCGAAGCTCCATGCTGAGTAAAGATTTGGTGGTTGTACTAGTTTTTAGCTGTTCAGCATTATAGGAGTTAAGTCACTGAACACTGGAATCCAGGACAAATACCTACTGCTAAGGTGCTGACCATGTCTAAAGAATAGAGAATGAGGAAGAGAGTCCTGGGTGGGGCAGGGGAGAAGGGAAGAGTTCTCATCTATAACTTAAACCCCAAAAAGCCTAAAGAACTCAAATGTAAATAGCCCCCACCTAGTTCTAGCCAGGCAGGGAGAACATGAAGTTGTGTTAGGGGTTTTAGGCTCTTTTCAGAACAAGGGGAAGAAACTAACTACAGAACATATGAAATGTCCCAGGGTATTATGCAGTGCTTCCTCCTTTATGGATCCATGGCACAAGGAAGCAGCTCCAACTCCACCTGTATCTCTTGAGAGAGGCTCTTGGTGAACATGTTCTGCTAGAGGTCTTCAGGCCTGTGCTGTTTGTCAGCTGGTACCACCAGACTATGGTAGGAATGGTTCATCAGGGCACTTGGAGAATTAAGCCCCAACCTCATGGCCATTCTTCAATGTACATTCATTGCAGTTGGAAAGAAGACAAGGAAAACAAATGGAATGGAGTTCACCATCCTGCATTTCCTCTGCCAAAGATCCAGGCCACAGGGCATTGTTTCCTGCAGCACCTTTGGAGTGCAAGGTTTATCCATCCTCTGGATCCTCTTTACTTACGCAGGCCTGTAGGGAAGGGAAAAAAGTGAAGACAGGGAATCAGTATGGAGCAAGTACTAAGTTGATTACTTAAGGCCATAGAAATGGTGTCAAAATAATTAAGACACTTTTTTTCCTGTCTTGATTTTAAATATGATCGACTACAGATGAGGAGTAGGATTGAGAGCTCAGAAGTAATGTGGTTAAGTACTCTTCAAGTCTGGGAAGAATGCTACACCAGACCTGAATGTACTGCAGTTAGACTAAGGAATAGATAGGAGCTAAAGTGTTAGATATATGTACCCTCAGCATTCAGAGCTACCTAAAATTTGGTTAGGAATTTTAAAAGCTATGGTTTGTCTCTAGAATCAAGCAGCTGCTTGGAGTTGCAGTGATAATGCTTCTTGTGTAGGTGCAGCAGTATGAGCAGATCTACTTCTGTAGCCAGCAGTGAAGATGAGTGAATGTTTTCAGCTGAAACATCACCTCTTAAAGATGCAGCTTCAGGTTGGTCAAAAGAGTTTGCAAACTCATGTTGGTATTCAGCAAATTGTTTGTTTGGGCAAATGTCTACCTAGAAAGAAAATCAGAATCACTTTGTGTGTTTTCTCTCCTCAAACAGGCTGGATTTTTCCTATTCAGGTATAAATTTCCTTTGTAAAGTATTCTAATCATCAAAGTTCACAAGGAGTGGAGGAAAACTAATCCTAAAGGAGGTCCCCCTTTCTCTCCCCTAGTGTTTCAGACTGGATTTTGAATGTAAGAATGTTATTTGTCTGCCTGTTCTTTGGTCTATTGAAGAGCCTACTTTTAATCCATAACTAGATCCCTGTTGTATGGGGTGTATTCCTTTAATGCTGCCTATGGCTACCAGACTGCCCCACAACAGAATTGATCAGGGAGTATTAAAGTGAGCAATTGCCAACTGGAGCCTGAGATCATTGAATTAACCCACATCTCCTGTTGCTGCCCTGTCAATACTGAAGTCTACAGCTGATAAAAGTCACACCCTTTGTTACCATCTTGCCCTTTCCACTGGCAGATCTGAGGAACGGGAAGTTGGTGAAATCTGGCTATGCAACTAAATTCAAAGCTTTTAAGCCATTAATGTAGTATTTGAGGTGTTGGGTCCGAGTGTTACGGACTGGAGCCTCACAACTGTGCAGTTCACTGCTTGGCCTTATAGAGAGTCTTAAACAGCAGGAAGAGCTATTGCTCATCTCTACCTCTTAAATAAACAGAGACTACCTCCTGTCATCTGGCAGGTTCTTGATTTAGCACTAAATCACGTACAGAATCATGCTTTGGGGCTATTCTGCTTTATAATTGAGATTGCACAGGGCTTCTCTCTGAAACCAATCAGAGAATGATGTCAAAAGCCTGAATGGATGCAGGAGGCAGGAAGTGCTGACAAATGATCTTGATGTTCTGGGCCTTCTTCTATCTTGGCAAGTACCTGCTGGATACTGGGAGATAACAGCTTTAGTCAGACACTTCAAAGTTTTCTTGGTTAACCCTTCCACAGTTCTGAATACAAGAAAAGCTTCCTCCCCTCAAATGATGTAGAAACCTGTCGATTCTTCTAGTGCAGGTGAAGAAAAGCAACCCAAAGCTGATAGCCTGTCCTGTGTAGCCTAAGAGAGGCAGTGATGCAAGCAGTCAGGGCCTGAACTTGGGCTTTAGCTAAGGGAGGGGTAAGAGCTCAGCCTTTCCTTCCTGAGAACTCATTGGAAACATTCTCTTTTGGCCTCAGGAGAGTACTTTTGGCTTGCAAGATGTGATTTATTATCCTTTAGC